TTCAGGCTTCTGCCCCACAACCTGAATCAGGAGAGTGACCTTTCTGATGTGAGAATTACACCACTCCCTGTGAGAAAAGCTGCAATCATTCAATCATTTTATCAGTGCGACAGTTTTTGTTTCTGACACGTGAAAAATTAGAGGGAACATTGGAGACAACTCCCAAACTCATCATGTCCATCATTAGTGCTGTAACTGTACGATACACGGACCTTTTTTCAGGAATAGTTTGAGCCACTGACAGTAGAGGGCGCTGTTGTTTTAGCTCATGCACACATAAAGCTCACTATCACGTAATGGAGAGTTTACACAACTAAACATGAGTTCCAGCTTTTAAAACAAGGAAGACTGTTTGTATTTGAGTAATTGATCATTTTATCCTTCCTCGTCCTTACTTCCACATCTCTCACTCCATTCATCTACGCTTTTCTCCATCATCCACCTGCAGGCAGTGGGTATCTCTCTCCGGACCCTGATTCAAAGTGTTGATGAGATCCTGCCCTCTCTGCACTCCTCTGTCACCTCAGAGGTAGGTTTCAAATATTGTCTGCCTTATGTTTTGTGACAGTGTATACATATCAGCCAGCAGACCAGATGCAGAGGGATTTTCTTTGAAGATTCACATAAACAGAAGTTATGTTGTGAAACAACGTTAAATACTCAGTGCAAAAAGGCTTTTTGGCTTCTATGTGTGTCAATATAGAGATTATTACCATTTGACACTTTATGCCATATATAAGCATACTAGATCATCTTTTCAGTCTTTATACTTTTTTTTACCTCCTGTTGTCTGTATGATCTGATCTTCCTTCTGGTCCATCCTAGATTGAGGGCACGAAGAAACTGCTGAACAAGGATTTGGCAGAGCTGATCAATAAGATGCGACTGGCCCAGCAGAACTCCATAACATCACTAAAGGAGGAGTGCCAGAAGCAGATGTTAGCTGCTGCTCACACTCTTGCTCTTGACTCCAAAAACCTCCTGGATGCTGTGGACCAGGCTCGAGTCAGGGCCAACCTTGCCAAGCCTAAACATGACTCAGAAGATGAAGAAGATTCTAGGGAAGACACATAGGTTCCCTGCTGATCAAACGAACTTGAAATTTGGCTTTAGTTATGAAAGGATCAGTTCTTTTCTTGAGGACATGTGGAGGCTATTATGGTGCAGCTCTGTCCCGAGGGGACAGGGGTGTATCAGCTAATGAAAGATGTCATACTGTATTTGTATATGCGCTTAAACAACTGAACTGAAACGCTGAATGTATTAATAATATTTGTAGTGTTTATTCTATATTTTTACTATTAAAAATTATGACCTTTCTGTGTTGCAGTGGTCATTTTATGATATAAATTAATGATACATGATACACCTGTGGTATTAATGTAAAAATTCTATGTTGCTTTGTTCTCAAGTTATTGCATTCACACCTGTGACCTTGATCTTTAGGTCCAGTTCACTTCAGTTTGAAGTCATTCAAAAAATTTTATTTTATTTAAATTTTGGTATCAATTTGAAAAACCTACATCGCCTCGTTCTGGAGTTATCCCAGTCACAAACTTGCTTGTCCACGCTGGCTACCCGCCCAGCAGTTTGACAACAATACATCTGAAAGGTAAAAAACTACACTGAAATGATGTACTAAAGTTTGTTCATGTGCTCATGTGGTTACCACAGCAAGCCATCAGCACACCCTTGAATATTGTACTTTTAACATCAGTCCTGTTAAATGGCTGTGGGGTAAACTCTCTGGCAGGTAATTTGCATAGCTGTTATTGTGCAATGACAACCTCGGGCAGCCTTGGGTGGGCTGTACAGACTTGAACTGCATTTATTCACAGTCGTTCACAGTAAAGAAAAAAGAAGACTATATTGTTGCTTCTAAGGAAAGTGGCCAACTAGAAATTGTCATGATCCTGGGTCCTTTTGACCCAGCGTTTTGTGTTTTCTCTTCGTGATTTTGGTTCTGTTCTTCCTCTGGTTAGTGTTTACTCTGTTCTGCCCGTGTGTTCCTGTATCTAGTCCGCGTTTCTTAGTTTGTGTCCTTTCATGTGTAAGTTCCTGTTTTATTGTGAAGGTCTGTGTCTTATGTGAG